TTGATGTATTTCCTCAGCGACCAGCACGGATCAGCTCCAGGCATTGATTTCTAGTTGACTCCTCTTTTGGAAGAACAAAAAAAGTAGTTTTTTCACCACAACGAATAAAACAGCGTCTTCACGACGTGGCGGTGGCGGCAACAACAATACTACAGCGAGAATAAAAGTTACGCCTTCTTTCTTTGCGTGCACATTTGGGCGGCGTTATGCAAATCTTCCCACATTGTGATGTAGATATGTGGTTAGAATGAGCCGTTTTAGGTAGGCGTGTTTGACTCTTAACTTTTGTAAAGAATATCTTTGGATTTGAGACTTTAGTCTTTGCAACTTTAGGGATCTTATCTATTCACGAACAGCTTGTAACACTCCAAAGACAAATGAAAACTTGAAATCGCATCATATGACCCCTTTAAAAGTGGCAGATTTCAATTTCAAATGTATAACTTTTTCTACCAAAATATTAAGTGGCACAAATCTTGAAGAGTGATAATAATAACAAATGTTTCTTTAGCAGCAAATCAACATATTAGAATGATTTCTGAAGGATCACGAGACTTGGATGCTGAAAACATCTTTTTTTTTTGCCATCTTTGCTATCAAAGGAATCAATTAAATTTTAAAACACTGTACATCAAAATAGAAAACAGTCATTTTAAATTGTAAAAATACTTTACTGTTTTTACTGTATATTTGATCAAATAAATGCAGGCTCTGTGAACATTAGAGACTTCCTAAAAAAAACAAATAAATAAAATAAAATAAAATATGACTGGTAGTGTATGTAAACAAACTTCATTCCCAATTCAAAAAAAGCTTGTATTAAAACGAAAACATCTCATTCTGAAATCTTTGGATTACTTCTTAACACCAGAACAACTAATGATAAGAGTAAAATGATTTTGAAAAATTAAAAATGATAAAAATAAACACTAATAATCTAATAACACTGAAATGTAATTTTAGGAAATCCCAAAATTAATATCCATTTTTCATACTGCAGATTGTTATACTGTGACGCCTACATTTATTTGTAGCATTTAAAACAACTGATTTTATTTTTTTGTGCTTTATTTTGAAATTATTTAGACAGAATCTTATACAATAAGCTTTGAGCTACACAGAAGCTTTGCATTTCAGGAGCTAATCAATTATTTAACTCAAATCAATATTTTATGTCTAATTATTTACTTATGTGGCAAGTAGCCATGTAATAAGTAGGATAATGTACATCCAGTTGGCTGTTATTGCAGAATAAACCCCTTCAGGGCGACGCAAGACCCCTTTGCTTCACATCCTGATCCCCTGTTGGAGTTTATTCTGCGATAACAACCTGCAGAATGTACATTATCCCTTAATTATCGGCCTATCAGTATCAACCAGAATTTACATTTCAGTGCATCCCCAAATGAAAGATTACAAAGAATTGACACATTGATGATTCATTCAAAATAAGATCAGGAATGTACATTAAGGAGAAAATAAAGCTCATTTGCGACGTCATGGTGAGTAAGTGCGAAGAAGTCTTAAAGGCACAGCGTACCAAATAATTCCTAGGTGTAAGAGAACGCATAAAATATTTGTGAAACCTTAATCATGACAGCTTTTGATGCAGAATAATAAGAGAAAAAAATCCCATAGGATAAAAAAAGACCCTTTTAACAGTCAACACAAAGCCCACAGGCACCATGATATCAATCACACTTTGTTTTATAGTTCTCCTCACTCGTAACATTTCACACAGTCATTCCTGCCTGCATCACTTACTGGAAACCTGCCTCCCCAAAGCACCCACTCCTATGTATGTGCGACTTCCTCTACTTCCTTTATTGTAATCTGTGTCAGTAGTTTTCATAGTTTGGAGTGTTCCACGAAAGCATATAATATAAACAGTATTTAAGACTGAGTTCACAGAACAACTTAGGAACAGACAAGTATTTCGAGCCCATGTGTGTGAACAAGGTTGCCTCTAAAATCCTTTCCACATTTGACAGGGGAAAGAAAACATTCAGAACTGTGAAAACAGGATGCTGTCTTTCAGTGGGAATGAGGATAAAGGTAACAAGGGTCACAGATTATACTACCGCCTGTTTTTCTATGTCTTTTAGGTGGAAGACAAACCTGTTTGTCCTTTTCCTTTGCCTTCCCGCTGCTGGACACCCGGGAGGAAGTGACATCACGAGGGATGACAGAGATTTGGTGCAATGGCATGTTCATCCCCGCAGTTCAGTGGCGCTCACACTCTCTGAAGCTGAAGCCTGTCCACCAGCACCGGCATGATGGAAAGAAGCACTGATCCAAATCTGACAAGAGAGACAAAAAGAGATGAGAAATGAATGCTCCAAAAGCATGATCATCATTCCTACTGCCATGATGAAGATAAAATGCACACAAACATATCTTGTCAATCAACTGTCGTTAACTGCTTTCTGTAGATGGTAATCCCCTGGAGTGTGGTGTGTTAACTGAACCGGTTAAACAACACTGACTTTTGTGAATCTATACTGTAAGTGTGAAAAAATGACTGCCTAATTTAAATACTCGTACAACAGCAAGCATATTTCAACATGTTTTTTCAATGAATATCGATATAAATTTGCAATCTTTGAGGTCACCCACCTGGAATACTGACAAATCCAGTGATTATACAACGAATAAAAAATGATTGAACAAAATAAAAAAACAATATAAATAAATAAATTGAACAAACAAATCCATAATGAAATAAAATAAAAATAAATAAATATATACAAACATAAATAATCAGCCAATCATACAGCATATGAACTCGCCAGATAAAGTGCTTTCAATTTTTTGTGCAGTAAGCATCAGATGGCAAATGGATTGAAATAATGAGAATGTTTTCAGGGCTAACCCAAACACTAAAATCTAGTTAACAATCATTTTGTTTTAAGACCAACAAAGATGTTGAACAGGAAAACATCTCAGACGGTGAAATCACGGTAAGTATTCACAAACACTGCTGCATATTAATTGAACTACAAAAACATCAAGTCTCATGCAGCGAGTGAGGAAATGAGAAGCAGCAGTAAAAGTTGAATCACCAATTACAAACCGACTCCCATATTCTCCATAATGAAACGCATTCTTTGAAGGAGAACAAAGAGCTCATGCCACACTGAGACAATGCGAAGTCTGCTTACAAACAGGCTGTTCAACTTCTACCACCATCTGCTGCAACCCTAACAGCAATTCAAATTCTCTCCATCTTGTGACCATGCCAACGGCCGTGTTGTGTGTAAAACTATGCATCTAGAATCGCAACGGTGACCACCGGCATCAGACCAAATCCACCAGTTTGGCACTGCAGAATGAAGACGTACTGTAGTGCAAATGGATTGATTAACAGACTCACAAAACTGCAGAATGACAAACTGTTGGACACTGAACAACACAGAAGTGAAGCTAGTACTGACAATACTGAACATCTCACTGCTGTTTTAGACCAACAGAACAGTTCAACGGTTTGAGACCACACTTTTTGTGAATATTTGTGAAAATTTAGTTGTTTTGTTTGGTTTTATTTTTTGTGTTGATTAGATTTTTGCTTTTTGCTTTTTATTTTGTTTTAGTAAAAAACTTAATTTGTTTTGAGCATTTAAAAAATATAATAGAAATAGAAATAATTATTTTAAATGAAAATAAATAAATGTAAAAAATCCATGCATGTAAATAAGTAAAATGTAGTGTAAACATATAATAAAAATTATTCCAAACTATTTTGACATCATTAATAGATAAATGTATGACTGTGCTTATCAAATTATCTGCACATGCTTTTTTGAATATCATAATTGTTATGCTGATAACATAATATGTAATAAAAATACATTTTAAACCACCATATAGGAGCATTTTCACTAGTGGAAACTAGTCTTAGATATTTGAACCCTACTGTACGCACAACAGCTTGAAGTCATTTTCACATTTGGTTGTGTGATTATCAGTGAATGCATATGATGATCTAATATTATGATATTGTTATAATGGTCAACACATGGGGAGGAGTGAATGAAATCCTCCCTCTTTGGCATCAAAAGTGCCATTAATTCATAAGCTGCTCACAGAACAGCTGGTCAGTTCATACTGTATGCATCCAGGACTCATAGCAGGACAGTTATCTGAGCAGAAACTGCTCCACATGACTGATCAACAGCCTGTGCTAATCACACCGCATTAAAGCGGAGGGCATGTGACTGCATGCAATCACTCATGTGCCACCGGATCAATGGGCCGAGGATGATTTTTAGCAGTCTAAAACAAAGGTAGCAGCGTATGGTTTACTGCCAAGTACATGAGACGTGTGGCATGCTGATGAATCCACAGTATCCTGGTCCATTTTTGTAGGTAGACTTCATGTCATGATCAGTAAAACAGCTTAAGGCAAATGTTGAGTTTCAATGGAAGAACAAACACATCAATCTCATAGCTTTCGTTTCACTGAAAAAGTGACTGTGTGGGAAAGGAAGCTAGTGGTCAAATTCTTAAGTCAATGCCCTTTGAGGTTTTCATGAAATCAGATGTCATAATAACAATAATAATCACGGGCTTGGAGCCTGTGGAGGGATGACTAATGCATGAGGTCTCTGCCAATTCTTGATCTAAATGAGCAGTTGAAAGTGAAAATGCCTCGGCGCAGTCGATCAGGGTGGAGGAGTTAAAAAAGGGCAGCCGTCTGTCAATCTGATGTGCCACGTACAGTATGTACTGTGTAAAGGTCATATATAAGTACTGTTATTGCTATTATTGCTCATATCTGAGATTAGGGATTTGAATAAACCCATAAACTTAAGAATTTAGCTTTGTCATGCAACTTATCCTCAACATTTGGCCTACAAAAGTAAGTGATACCTCAAATCATATGGCTTGGTGAGCAATATTACTGTTCTAAAACAAAATTATTTATCATTTTTGTCTGGGCAAATAAAAATCCTACACAGACTCAAGAGGCAGCCACACTAAACTTTGACCATTTGGACAACTTTAAAAACTTAAAAAAAAATTATAATAATAATATTAAAATTAAATGTAATGATGCTAACCTGCAGCTTTAAAGTTCATATTATTTTGATTTAGCGCTATAAGGTCACAGACTGACATAACTATCTTCCATTGGTCACATGTCTTTACAGGTCAAAGTTCACTAAACTTGCAATACAGTAAAATGCAAAAATTCTTTGCATGAGCTTGCGTTTCCGGTGTACAGCATTCAGATATGTATGAAATGAATTTCATCAAATTAATGTCACATGGACTATTTCAACAATGTCCTTACTACCTTTCTGGGCCTTGAAAGTGTCAGTTGCTTTTCTGTCAATGGAGGGTCAAAAAGCTCTCGGTTTTCATCAAAAATGTCTTAATTTGTGTTCTGAAGATGACCGAAGGTCTTGCGGGTTTGGAATGACATGAGGGTAATTAATTAATGACAGAACTGGAATTTTAGGGTGAACTAACCATTTAATGCTGAAGGAGCAGCATGAAGCACTGAAGTGGAGTCATCTAGAAAACAGAATATCGCAGAGCCACTTTTCCAACATTGCACCAAACAGTTCTTGTTGCTTAACTCTTCCATTTGTCCAGCTAAAGAGAGAAACTGGACACCAGGCAACAAAACAAGTGACCAATCCTGAGTAGCGTCACTCGGGTTGTTTACAACTTTGTAATCGTGCTTTTCCCGAACCAAGCTCAAGTGGAAATATAACTGTAACCATTCATTACTGTTCTTTGAACCATTAGGGCCAACAGGGGAAAAGTGTCCATTAAGCAACCACTTAACAACGCTCTAGCAACCTAATAGCAATGCAATAAAACCTGAACCCTTTAGTAACCACACAGTAACACTCCAGCAGTTTGACAGTGATTTTTGCAGACAAACACTACTGAAATTTTGTTCAGAAATGTTTAAAACTAGTTATGTTATGATTAGCATCTGGAGATTAAGGGGGGAAATATGTCTCTGCCAGGCTGAAATGCCTCAAAGAGCATAAAAAAAACCGTTAGGGATGCAGGATATTGGATTTTTGCCCATATCTGATATGCTGATATTTTATATATTTCCTTTTGTTTGGAAACAACACCAAGTCTCTCCTGTGCAGAAATTATAAGCAAAATATTTTTTATTTTGGTTAGTTTTTAACAAGAACTTATTTGTTAGAATTAAATAAACAATTATGAAGGTTTTTTGACAGTACATTGAAGCTTTGAAAATAACTATAAATAAACCATATATCAATCGCTTCTTTATTATGTAAGCTTAACCCTAACATTTTATTTTAAGATTTAACATTTGTAGATGGTCTAAAGCAAAAGAGTTGTAAAAATTCTGAAAATCTTTTAGAGCTTATGAATTGTTTGAAAAATAAAACATATTACACATTAATTAATAAATCAGTATATATATAATTATTTAATTTACAAGTGTCATGTTTGTGATTTTTTTTTCATGTAAGCTATGCAGCCAACAGCGCCCCCTACAGATTAAAACTCCTTAATAAGCGGGCGTTAGGACCTGAGGGAGGCTGCGACTGCTGCCGCTGCACGTGCTATTACTGTTTACTCTATCACACACCGAACGCGTCATTCTGTAGTGCTTTCACAGATTAAATGCAGCGATCCAAAGAGTCAATCTAATCATCATTCAGACAAAACTTTGCTTCAAAGATGAGCCACAATGCTGACATGATCTAATCGCTAGCACACCCTGAGCACATGTCAGTTAACGCATTCCTCTTATCGGCAAGACATATCGGCATAATTTTTCATATCGCCCCATGCCGATATTTACATTTAAAGCCATTATCGGCCGATTCCGATATCAGTCCGATAATATCGTGCATCCCTAAAAAACGTTGTTGTTTTTTCATCCTTTTGGAGTTTCAGAGAGAAAAACTCTGATAAATTATTGAAGATAAATAATGTACATAGTAAAGCCACTGCATTGAATTGGGATTACAGAGCACACATAGCGTAACAAATGGATGAGAATATGTGCCTCAGCTCAAATCAGTCACCAAGTTCAAGCTCATGGCAGGAAGAAGAACCCTGCTGGCAGCATGTGATGAGGTGTACTGTATGCTTCACGACTGCCACAAATACAGCTTTCACAGAGCCCAGAGCAGGGATTTCAGTCTTAACGTGCATCACATTAGCAATATGAAGCACAGCTCGCACAGAAGTCACTTTCAAACCAAGCAGCTTTCTGTTGCAAATCCGTGTAACCAACTTGACACCACTGCCAAATCTGTGTGGAGAAATCTTTCGCCCTTATGCAAAACATCCAATT